TCAAGTCTGTGTGCAGGTCAACAGCATTCAGAATCAAAAATAAGATCCGGATTTTCAACTCCAATGTGAAGTTAGTTCTGCTTAATATATGGATCAGAGACTTGGCGCGTCATAAAGAGCATCTCAAACAAACTACAGACCTTCATTAACAGTTGTCTTCGCTCAATACTCAAGATCAGATGGCCAGCCAGAAAAGATCAGTAACAGGGAGGGATCTCTGGGAGCGAACCAAAACAGCAGGAACCGATTGTGAAACAAATCTGCAGGAAGAAATAGAGATGGATTGGCCATACTCTGAGGAAACAAACCATCAAGTGACATCACTGGACAAGCCATTGCTCGAGTGGAACCCGAAAGGGAAGCGGCGAGTTGGTCGTCAGTGCAAGGGTGAGGGTGACTTTGAGGAGGTCATGTGAAGAGGAGATGAAAACGTGTGGACAGACTTGGAGCCAGGTGAAGACTCTACCAGAGAACCGAATGCAATGGAGACGCACGGCTGAAGCCCTATGTTCCTCTAGGAATTAAAGGAAACTATAATAATAATAATAATATCCCAATGGAACATAGGGCTTCAAGCTAGAGCTTTGAAGTTTCAGTAGCAGCGGTGTTATTTTTATACAGGGTGGGGTTGCTAGCCTCACACCCAGTTTTCCCTCACTTACTGGACTTGCTACCGGCTAAGCGAGGTTTAGGAGACCGTTGGTTCAAGAATCGAACCCAGCACCACTTGGTGGTAAAGGGATTAGCTGAAAAGTGGTCAAGGTATCTGTCCAAAGTAACTGTGACCAAGAATCTGATTAACAGAGCCAAACGTCTAATTATTGAGGAGGAGTAGGAGATCAGCAGGGAACTAAAATTGGTTCAGTCCACTCTTGAATCAAATGATTATCCCAAAGACTTTATACAAAGATATTTAAAATGTGAAGATAAGGATGAATCGAATTCTGTTACTAACAATTGGGCTAGCACAGTAGCTATTCCCTACCACTAACAAACATCGGATGATATAAAACGAATCCCTGACAATCATGAAATAAGAGTGTATTTTCGTGCAACTAACACCTTACACTCATCAATGGTTAAGCTTTAGGATAAAATAGGAAAAGACAACCTACAGAACTGTGTATACCAGATCAATTGTGGGGACTGTGACACCGTATATGTAGGAGGAACTTCCAAACAGATAAATATAAGATCAAAGGAGAATAAGCAATGTCTAAAGGTGATTCCAAAGACCTCTGCAGACTTAAAGAAGCTAGAAAACAGATCAGCGATTGCACTGCACTCGATAGAAACGGGACACAAAATCGACTTTGATAGGACTAAGGTTCTACAGAAAGCTTTTACTTCGTATTAAAAAGACTGACTGCAAAAGCCCTACATATATGGGTGAATCCCAACAGTTTGAACAGACGTGAAGGTGTGTTGTTAGCTGATGCATGGCAAATCCTGATTAATAAATAAAAATTGGATATGTATCAACAATTAATCATACCTGGTCAAAATTCCCGATTGTCTATATTTTCTTATGGAGTGGCTAACAAATGTTTTATGACTGTTTACCCACACACACACACACATACACACACGCACTGTTGTATACCGCATATGCACACATTTATATTTCTCATATTCAGTTATCTACGACCATGAACGTTTAGTCGAACGTGATCACTAAAAATCTGATGAAAAAGTACACACTGTTTACAGCGTTTTACAAAAGTAGACTAATATTTATAAATTCGAAGTGGTTAATTTTCCTGACGATATTAATATTATGAATAAAAATATGTACTCTTGATGTGCCTTCGCTCAAAACAGTTGACATTTTGTGTGGTTACATCTCCACACACAGTTTTTTCATCCCGTTCCCTATATCTTATTAAAGGGATTTGTTACTTCTATGTACTAGCAATGTTAGGTTTACACTTGAAGGCGATTGTTTTCGCCAAGTTGATGGTGTTGCTATGGGAAGCTCATTAGGGCCTCTCTTAGCAGGTATCTATATGTCATACATTGAGAGTTTATCTGAAGATTTAATCGAAAATGTACCGCTTTATAGAAGGTATGTAGATGATACTGTAATCATAAGTGATAAGTATTGTTCTGCCACCTCAATTTTAAATCGAATGAATGAAGTTCAGAGTAGCATATCACTTACATCTGTAGAAGAGGAAGATAATTGTTTATCTTTCTTAGACATATTGCTTAGTCGAGACGGCTTGATGGATCAATAAAACGATCTATTTATAGAAAACCTACCTGGATAGGACAGTATCTTAATTATCACAGTTTCTGCCCTGTTCGGTACAAAAGAGCCTTAGTGAGTGAGGTGCCTCTTCAGTAGAATCCAACGAATATGCACTGAAGACACACTTGATGATGAGGAAGAAAGAAAGTCGACACAAACTCTGGTTGATAATAATTATCCAGACAAGTTCATCAGGAGGAGATATAAAGTAGTCAGTGGAACACCAAGACCCACTCTACAACTCGCCCCTAAGAAAGAAGTGTACATCAAGCTACCCTATATGAGTGGGCATCATAGCAGCTTGATAACTAGACAAAGACTGAACGCTGCTGTTAAAAAGACTTTTTATGCAGCTAAGATCATAATAATTGAGAATGTGAAGCCAATATATCCATCTAAGCCCTTTGAACATGCGAAAAATGATGTCACATCCCACTGTATTTACCAATTTGAATGTATGTGTGAATACAAATACATAGGGAGGACTCATCGATCTCTGCAAGTAACAGCTGGCTTCAGAGCATATTCCTAAATGGCTCCAAAAGCAAACAGAATCCCATGAACCCATTAATGGTGAGAACACGAGACCTAGCTCCTCTATTGCGAAACATGTATTATAGAGACAGGACATAAAATTGATGTTTACACATCTTTTAAACCTATCTATCTATAAAACGTGTTTGGGGCGTATCCTAAAGTTTGTGGAAGCCCTAGATGGCAATTAGGAAGTTTAAACTACCTTTATGCGTTCAAAAACAATTCGTCATCACACTGAACCTTCCCCGTAAACTTCGTTTTGATACCAGCAGAGATGTACCATTACCTCTCTTCTTTGGTTTGGTGATCTTTATTGTTATTTTGACCTTCAGTATGTCTTTTTAACTTGACCTACATTTATTTTCTCACCTCTTAACTCTTTATTGATTTCATATATATTCCTATGACAAGTCCGTGTGTGATCAGATTGTTCGAAATGTGTTGCGCAAATACATTACACGATTCAGACAAATTACGTCTTCTTATTGCTTTGTCTAATATTTATAATTCTGAAGTCGAATTTTGATAACAGTTCATGCAACTTTATCTCATGTTTTCATTGACCATGCATATTCAAAAACTAACTGACTATTGTTCCATCCCATCTTACTTATACTTATTCCACAATACATGTTCTAATATGATTCTAATATGCCTTCACTGGCTGGCTGGTTATTGTATGCTTAAATTAATGGATTTATAATTGTAGAGCCTGAGGAAGCAAGAATTTATTGAAACCACATTTGTTCGCTCTAACTATTTTTGTTCGGAATAAATTATGGGGATATTCAAGTTACTAAAATATTTATTCCATTGTCACATAACTGAGAAATCTTAAACCTACTAGACATTTTGTGTGACATGTAGAAAGTTAGTTAACAGCATAGTCTGTGGCTTCAGTAATAAGTGAACTTTAGCGGAAACACTAGTCTCCACAACTATCTGAGGACACTTTACTGAACATTGACAAAGTGAGTAAATTAAGGGTACAAATAATTTTGTTGTTTAAGTGTTGGTTTGTAGGGATTTGATTGGTGACAGGATTTTCATCATGAGCTGACATTAGTTAGAGAACTATTGGAATTTTTGTTGTTTATTAGACGATTTATTTATGACTTAACGAGTTGTGTGCAAGGAATCATTGTGCTGAAGTACTAAAGTCTCTTAAAATGAAATCACTGTAGGTATGAAGTGATTTTTTGATAAACTTATGACCGTGTGATCAGTAAACATGATTTCGAATCATGAGAGATATCGATAGGAAGCGGCTAAAACAAGCTCAATCAGGATTAAACTATTCGGGCCAAGGTGAAATATTTATTTGAATGCAATTGGACAAGCTTTCACTACTCTCAAGTCTGTGTGGAGGTCAACAGCACTCACCATCAAAAATAGGATCCGGATTTTCAAATCCAATGTGAAGTCAGTGCTACTATACGGATCAGAGACTTGCACTGCGCGTCATGAAAAGCATCTCAAACAAACTACAGACCTTCATTAACAGTTGTCTTCGCTCAGTACTGAAGATCAGATGGCCGGTCAGAAAAGATCAGCAACCAACCAGCAAGAACAGATTGTGCAACAAATAGGCAGAAAGAAATGGAGATGGATTGGCCATACTCTGAGGAAACCATCAAGTGACATCACTAGACAAGCCGTTGCTCAAGTGGAACCCGAAAGGGAAGCGGCGAGTTGGTCGTCAGTGCGAGGGTGACTTGGAGGAGATCATGTAAAGAGAAGATGAAAACGTGTGGGCAGACTTGGAGCCAGGTGAAAACTTTGGCAGAGAACCGAACGCAATGGAGACGCACGGCTGAAGCCCTATGTTCCTCTAGGAATTAAAGGAAACAATAATAATAATAATTGGACAATCTAGAATCCTGACCTTATACGTTCAATATTATTGGTTATTTGTTGGCTTGACTTTCCAAGGTACATCATGTCTCTAAATGATATACTTTCGTATAATAAAACCGAAGTGTTCTCACTAGCTTGGATCAATATGTCTTTTGGCTTCATTTTCATGAGCTCTGAGGAACAGAAGTAATAGGTGATCGGTATTAAGATCCAAGTAGTATGATCCCCGAACATTTAATAACCCGAAATCTTTGTTCCATGAAGCTTTATAACTTCTGATCATATATTTTTAGAACCTATAAAAATTTATTAAATGATCTCAAATCTCTATTTCATCTTTCCTTCTCATTTTCAGGAATTTAGGTCTTCTGTCTTGGAGAACAATACATCAAAGTCCTGCTTTCCTGTTGGCACCGAAACCGCTTTGTTTACGTGTTCAAGGCTTAACTCATTCACAAGCCCAACTATGCCAAAGATATTTTGATCATATGCCTGTAATAAGTATCGGGGCAAAATTAGGCATTTATGAATGTCAACGACAATTTCGTTTTCGACACTGGAATTGTAGTTCTGATAATGAAGCTTCAGCATTCGGTCCAGTCACTTTAACTGGTTAGTTAGTTGATGTTTTTAATTACTTTATTCGTGTGTTACAGCTTTTTATGGAGAGTATTGTTTGTTAATTAGAATGCTGGAGGTATGATTCTCTAAAACCTTTGATGTACAGACATTCAGTAGGATGTCGAGAAGAAGGTTTCAGGGAATAGAATCTTCTAAATGAATTCATGATTGTTTATAGTTGGCAGTGAAATCCAAGAGGCGTGTGTTCTACTTATTTGGAAGTCTTCAGACGTATGTACTCACATTCCAATGAGTGGTGATATCCCATCCCAGTGAGAGATGAACTAAGTATTCGGCATTTCAAGAGTCAAAGCGTTATCCGCTAGGCTAATAAGTCCATGGAAATCCGAAAATTATTAAAAAGACTGTTACAGAGAAGAAAATTCCCTTTTTCGACGAAGTCATCAACTAGGCTGCACATTCATGTCCTTAAAGTAAGTGTGTGAAAAAGTTTCAGAATTATTGCTGGTCAGAGGTTAAATTAATAGAATTACAAAGTGTAATAAAGACACAGGAAGATCATAATTACTGTACAATAATTGACTGTTTGTACAAATTAAGGATTCAGGATATAATAATAACAAAATAGGTAGGAAGTTCGGACATATATAAAAATAAAAAACAGCAACCAAATCCAGTAATGCAGATAGGATTTAAAAACGTAAAAGTGACACAAATAAGCAGGAAGGTTGTATAAGAAGGGTAATAGGGTAATCATTTCTGGTGGGACTAACTTTTCATGATGGCCATGGTAGGAAAATGGTTGGAAGTATTTATTTTGAACACATAGCTTGGGTTTGAGTTTTTGAATCGCCAGTGCTTCAGCTATTCCTAGGTGCCTTGATTTCACTCCCTTCGATAGGTTTGATCGGATTTTGTACATGACCTTGAAGAAATTTTCAAATGCAGGTGAATGTTCTGAATATATATATATATAACGTTTCGAACAATAAATAATACTGTTTCACAGTGTGATATGTGTAATAAACAAACTGATTGTGTTAGCCTATAACTAGCTTCCCTGTTGAGTTTTTAGGGATTCGGCTGCAGACTGACATCAGTTAGAGAACCATCGGAAACCAGCAGAGAGTACTTGACATCTGTCCCGTCCCAGTTTAGGACTCTTCGTCAGTACGCACCCACTCAAACTGATATCAACCCACGGTCAAACGTAAAATAAATCGAATCCTTACAAAAATGTCTCTTGAAAACTAATCTACCGCTCGCTAGTGACTGTTTACAGGACGGAGTTCCCTGGTCTTCTACTGGGAAGTCGTGCCCAGTAGGATCTATCCATCGCTGACGATAGTGTCTGGTGGTCACATTCAAATCACTAATGGGTAGAAGTTAGAACTGATGAGTCACTTGATCAGGTCTCAGGGGCTGATTGGTCTACGAGCTTACCTTGTGAGTAGAAGGTCCTGGGTTCGAACCCTGGCAGTGGATGCGAACTGCCGATGAGTCCCACCCAAACTAGGACGAAAGAGTTCTCCAGTACTCCCTGGTTCTCAGCGATATCAATTCGTGGTTAAACTTTAATCCTATTATTTTCAATTCTTATTTTTTTAACAAAGATCATTCTTGGTCACTGGTGAAAAGTAGTGAATTTCACAGTAATCATAAGTGTGAGGCTTAGTTGGTTGTTGGCAAGGATTCTCTTAGAAAAAACTCACTTCCGGAGTAAAGCTTTCACCCGTACATCTTCAAAACAAATCATTAATAATCTCCAATAGTTTACTTTAACCAATTAATCTTATTTTAGATTTAGTTTTTTTGTAAAAACTAAACTTTTGCCAGTTTATCGTTTAAATAGAAGAAAAAAGTGTCTCATTAATTCATTTCCTGCGTTTATTTTTCATTTTTTTAAGATTATTCTTTTCCTGGTGTAATAAATTATATGCTCTGGGTGAAAAAAGTCATTTATTTTGTTTTTAGTACCTTTTCACTTGATCTGTGTCTGTTTTCCTGCGTTACCCCAACCCCTACCGTCTCTTTCTGTCTCCATCATACTTACAACCTCTCCTTCTTCACTCGCTTCTCTTAATTCTCTCGAAAGTATACTGCGGTTTCATACTTATTATGATTAGCCTGTTTAGACATTTTTATTTCCTTACTAATTCCTTCGTTCAAAATGTTACATAGAATTCATTGAAACTTGAACGTTTGTTTTGTTTTAATTTGTTTGTATTTTTGGCGCACAGTTTAATTCAATAGGCTGACAGGAGTAAACTTTTTATTTCCGGATGAATAAAAATTTTTTTTAAAAAAAGAATAAAATTCTAGAATTAGTTATTGTATATTCCAGGAAAATATTTAAAGATTCTTTGATTAAAAATCTTTAAGTGTTTTTTTTCACTGTAGTTTGTCTAAGACAGTTTTTGAAAAATAGTTTTTGTTTTGCATCCTTTTAGATGATTAATTATTCAGTGTCATAGAATGAATAATTTTTTTTATTTTGTTTTTGAATTCATGTAGTTTAGCGTTAATCATTCTTGTCATTACCACCATCGCCATAATCATACTACTGGTAAATTTTTTTCAGTAGATCTCATGGAACATCCTTGTAAACGGTTTAACTGAGGTAAATCGTTTAACTTTTTTTAGTCATGGGAATAAAAACGTTGATTTTGGAATATTCTTTAATGGTAAAATTTAAGAAAAATGTGATATTGAATATTAGTCAAATGGCTGAGGGATAGTATATTTGTCACGAGTCTACATCTTGACTGAGGTGGACTGAATGCTGCGAAACACCGTATGAAGCGAGTAAAAAAGCAAACAATCGATGGACCTGAAATTAATAGGTGATTTATATTTAATGTTATACAAACTTTAAGATCTAAAGACGAAAGTCAACAAGTTGGCAGAATAAGCAATGAAGACAGGACTTCAGGTAAACCACAAGAACCAATCAGCATCAGTAATCGGAATTCGAAAGAAGTCACCTCTTGTACACATCTAGGCAGCGTCGTTTCAAAGACAGGCGACACGGATTGAGAGAACAAAGCCGAAATTGGCAAAACAAGACAGATCTTCACTACTCTGAAATCAATGTGGAAATCTGTCAAACTTAGAACAAGGAAGAGGATTCCTATTTTCAACACAAATGTCAAGTCAGTTCTGCTATACGGTTTGGAGACTTGGCGAGTCAAGAAAAGCACTCGCAACAAGCTACTGCTGCGTGCTGAAGACCAGACAGCCATCCAGAAAGGAACTCAAACAATAAACCCTGGCAATGAACTAACCAACAAATTAAAGAGATGGACTAGATATACCCTGAGGAGACTGCTAACTGACATTATGCTCTGTGCCGTTGAGTGGAACCCGTATAGGAAACAACCAGTTGGGCATTTGTCCATGAACAACATGAAGGAAGTCGTATATGGAAAAGATGAGAGATTATTGGCCATCGAGGAGCTAGATAAGAAAGACTATAGAGAATAGGATGAAACGGAGATGTTCTGTTGTTATTCGTTGATTGAAGGCAATCGGCAAGAAGCTTTGGACCTAGGTTTCGTATCTGCAATTTTGAAGTGACTATTCATGTCACTTCTAAGATTCAAACCCAGGTCACACAGAGCTGCTGCAGTCAAAGAGGCTACCACTGAGCTATTCCCATACTTCTAAATGCCAGTAGTTTTGAAAAGGTTTATTCTAACTATCTGTTGAATCACTTTGCTAAAAGTAATAAAAGACAAACTGCCTAATTTCCTCTCTTCCATGTGTATATAGCAATTTAACTGCTCCTGTGGAGCCAGCTAGTTGCAGAGGCCATACAATAGGTTGTGTTTCTCGTCGGATTTCCGAACATCACTCTGAGTGATTAAGTAAAGGAGAAACAAAATCTATTCTCAGCGCTATTCTATCTCATCTTGTGGAGACAGAACACAAGATTGACGTTAATCATGCTTTCAGGGTCATTTACCGCATACCTACGGATCTCAATTTCGCTTTAAGAGTTCGACTACTAAATCTTGCTGAGGCTGTGGGGATCCATATTAACAAGCCTAATTTATGCATCCAAAAGAAGTTAGTTCAGACATTATCATTACCTTGGTCATCCAGGTTTGAATAATCCGGAATTTTTGTGGAATTTCCCTTATTTTAGTTGATATTCTATTCGCTATTATATCTTTATTATTATTATTAGTATTATTATAATTTAAGCATCTTTAATGAACTGTAATTCCATTGTGATCTTACTTTACAAATCGATATTATTTAAAAAAAAACTAATATTGTTATCAACTACTAATCTAGAATATTCTATGTATATAAGCATATATATAATTGTAGAGCCAGAAGAGGAATTTATCGAAAAGGCTATTCTTTGCTCAATTATTTTGTGTTTTATAGATGTCTGAATGAATATTTTTGCTATATTGAAAAGTAACTTTGTAGTCAGTGCTTTTTATGGATTTCATTCCGGCTACTTAACTATTCCTGAGACATGCCTCAGTGGTCCATGAATTCCTACTTCTACCGATTCATGATTTTAGTGCGACCACTAGCGAATGTCCTCGCTGGCGAGTATTTGTCCTCACACCTAACCTATTGTATCCCAGCTGTTCAGTACTTCCTGCAGGTTTTCCAATGGTTCCCTAATCAATATGAGCTTATGATGAAATCCTGAAAACAAATTTCATTATGATAAAATAAACACCTATAATTCACAACTGAGATTTTAATAAAGACTTGAAACATAACTGATTAGGCATGATTTACAAGAGAAGGCAGTGGTGGAGAGACTCCCTGGTTTCTGATCATTCTCGAAGTGAAGTTCACTTTGTGATCAGACTTAAAACCGATCAGAAGCCTGGAAACCAACACACGGAAATTAAGTATATATATATATACTAAATATACTAGAACATACATATAAAAAAGAATGATATCATGGTTAAACCATTTTCAATTCAAAACAAGCAACAAAGGTTAACCGTGACCAGTAGGGTACAGCAGGTTAAAGATGAGGCAGTAACTCATCGAAG